CTTTGAGCGGGGGATCTGAGAGCAGCCCAGTTAAGGGAGGGTACCCAACTTTTTGACCCACCGCCGCTTGGCTGCAAACGCATGGGGGATGCATGGAGTCTGTCCACGTCCTCCGGTTGCCAGGCAACGAACAAATGCAGCTGCGGTTTTTGGGGATGAACATGAACCGGTATGTACATATATATAAAATAGTGTTTTTGTTGGTTGTGTGTTTGATTGCTTTGGTTTCGTTTGTCGGACCTGCCCAAAGTTCCTTTTCCTTAGGATTTGTTTGGGAAGGGTTCCTGCAATCCGAAAGACGACCCATGTGCAGGGGTATTCTTTGGGAGTCCTTGGACCAAACTCTCGGCTTTGCTATGTGGATCGGTTTTGTGCCCAATGTCCCGAAGCGGATCCAGCAATTCAGTTTCGAGTCTCTTGGCTCTTTTATTTGACCCAAGCATTCTATATAGAATTTGAGCAAAACCTTTGCTCTTTGCTGTTTGTGCCAAAGAGAAACTGCAAGCTGTACATGAGAGGGAGAGGATTAGCCGATGGTTTGCTCTGTCAAGGTCATGATTTTGGCTGGTTGAAAAGATGCGGCAAGATCACTCATGTTTGACTCATTGCCACCTCCCTGTGATGCCCCTAAATTGTCCGAGGGCTCAGCACACCGAGATAGATCCTCCTAATCACACGTACAAATATTCAGACGGCTTCGCTGTTTCTGTTGGGCCTTTTGACCTTGTTGTCCATGTAGATGACTCCGAAATGCTCCGAAATGCTCCGAAGAAAATGATGACCAAACCACCAGGCTTGAAGCCTTGTGCCAGGCTCGAAGCCCCGAAGGTCAGACTTTTTCCATCCTAGCGCCAGGGGAGGTCTCGGAGCAACCGGAGCCCGAGCCCCTCAAGTCCCCGCAGGCGGGGCAGGGTCTGTCAACAGGCGTGTGTGTTTGTGTGTGTGTGTGTGTGTGTCTTGCAACGAACCCATATTTATCCCTTTCAAGGATCAAGCGTTGCATATTTCAGCGGCAATTGAAAGGATTTGTTGGTGCACATGTTGTTAATGTAAAAGATGCACGGGGCAAACAACTGAGGACTGATTGGAGTGCCTGGATCGGACCTCCCGCTTAAAGGGGCTTTGTGTTTGCAACGGGGCAAACAACTCAGGACTGTTTGGAGTGCCTGGATCGGACCTCCCACTTAAAGGAGCTTTGTGTTTGCACTCATTATGCTGGTGGGAAATATGACCGTGTATGCCAAAGCCCTGGAGCGCTCACAAAATTGCTGCTTTCCTACTATTCTCTGTGCCCACTTTTTCCCTGAACAAGACAAACACCCAACCCCACCCAACCCCACCCAACCCCACCCAACCCCAGCCCCACCCCAACCCAACCCCAACCCCTCCTCAACCCCCCAACCCAACCCCAACCCCTCCCCAACCCCAGCCCAACCCCAACCCCTCCCCAACCCCAACCCAACCCCAACCCCAACCCAACCCCAACCCACCCAACCCCAACCCAACCCCAACCCAACCCAAACCCACCCAACCCCTCCCCAACCCCAACCCAACCCAAACCCACCCAACCCCATAACCTGACCTGACGAATTAGACCTGACATGGCCATTTCCTCTGAGCCCCTGGCCTCCGAGGTCTTGCCGGCGCCGGCGGAACTCGTGCCACAGCCGGGCTCCCGGGCTCCCCGGCGCGGTCGTTGGAGCCCCCCACCCCACCCCAATCTTCTTGGAGCACGGGTTCAAAGGAAGACGTTCACTAGGACACCAACATGTCTTTGCGGCCCCACATAGTTTCCGCAAAGCCGGAAATCACCTCGGTGTTCCTATCCTTACAAACAAAAAAGAGCACCAAGAATCTTTGCCCAAACCCAAAGGGAAATCGTATTCGCCCTGCGGGACCATGACTCAACGGACTAAGGGAAATCAACGGACTAAGGGAAACCAACAGGTTCAAAGGCCGCCGGGAGCCTGGGGCTCACAGAGTGAGGGACCCTCACAAAGGGCCGAAGGTCAAGACAAGAACACGAGACAATCGGCCCGTTTTCGGGACAATAGGGGACTGACAAAAGGCCCTGATTCAGAACGGGGGGAACTTTCCGAAGCTCGGGGGATGAGTTTGTGGCCTGCCTGGTGTAGAGAGCACCCAGGTCAACACCGTGTCTTTTTCTTGTTGGGGCCAGGCACCCAAACGTGAAGGTCGCTCTTAGCACCCAGTCGCTGTGGGAAATGATATTTGAGAATCCCATGTCCTGCGAAGATTTGGGGGGAAGGCCCTTCCCGTACGACGAATGAGTGATTTGGCAAGTCGATTTCAGCATTGCGGACAGATATTCTGTTTATGTTCCACTTTGACGGGACCCCATCACTGCTCCCTTCCGAGCGGAAGTGTAGCGTTTTGAAGTGCTCATAGTGCTTAGGAAGAATCACGCATTCAGCCGTTGCCTGTTTCTTCAACATACGTACGTGTTTCTTTTGGGAACTGATGTTTTCTGGAAAGATGGATCCATGGAAAAGAAGCAAATACGAACATTTGCGGCTTCTGTGCTGTTTGGCATTGACCAGGGAAGTGTGCCATTCGGCACCTCGGAGCCGCGAGGCAGTGGCTTCCGCTCAGCGGCGAGGAGGAAACGCATGTGGGTCCCAGGGAGCGTTGGTCGGAGCCAAATGGCTGGTGCTAAGTAGGGAATAAGGGAATGAACCCAGGAGTCCCCTGAAAGGAAACCACCAGTTGGATGGTTTATAGGGGTCATTCGCTCGTTCCCTGTTGAGCACCAGCAAGATTGGGAGTCCACTCGAACGCATCGTTGTCTGTTGGTTTCTGCACGAAAGGCGTTCAACAAGGGGCTCACGTTTGTGCTGGAGACATCTTTGAACAAAGCAGTTTGGCTTATGCCGAATATTACACTAAAGACGCCTGTAACAGGTGGAGTTTCTTTTTGTCAGCGTGTTGGCTCAGTTTGAGATTCGTCTACCTGCTGCATCGGTAAAATGTTTTGTTATGTACCCCAATACACGTTTGTATTTGGCAGCCTCTTCGTCAACTCATTTGGCCCTAAGGCCGACCATGGCCGAACTCCCCGATATGACCGTGGGGTTTCTGCTTTTGCCCGAAAGCAGCTGGTCGGCGCAGGTTTTGCCTCGCTTTGCCCGGGTCAAAACAGAAAGGTTTCCGGGAAAGCACCGCGGGCGTTTCAGAGGAGCATGGTCTCACGGAAGGGAACCCGCGGCTTTTTGCCCTCGTTTTGCAAACGCGAAGCGACACATGGAGGTTTACCCGAGGGGTTGGTCTTCCAATCTGACGGCCCAAGCCAGAAAGCCAGAAAGCCAGAAAGCCAGAAGCAAGGCCACTCGCCGAAGTGCTCCGAGTTGCTGGCTCAAACTTTTGGAGCTTGATGGGGCAAACCACTTTCTTAGCCGTTTACACAACTTTTAAGGTCCCGAGGATTTGGAGGCGAACAGTTTCAATCGGTTCGGCTCGTTCGGTCACTCTTTACTCGGTATGTCGGCTCAAGCAGTCGGATTGAAATGGGACCCTGACAGCTGCACAGCTGAAGTCAGTGCAAATTTAACTTTGGCTAGGCTTTCCAGTAGTGCCCTCTCTCACCCTTTTTTTGGGGGAGGGTTCCCCTACTAAAATAGACCACAGAACAAAGGGTACCCTTATTCTAAGAGAGCGGGACGCTGTGAGCGTGCGCTGTGTTTCACTTTTTGAGTGGAAACTCGAGTTGAACTATGTTTGCATAATGTGTATTCAAATGTCAGCTGAACTGTAAAGAAATGTGGTTGGAAAGAACATGCTGTGTAAACTATCAATCAAGACAGACTTATTCTAATTCAAATTCGATTATGAAACAGAAGTTGTGTTTGCCTTCATTCCTTATCAAATTGCTTTAAACTCTAATTTAATTTCAGTGTTCTATTGGGAAAGGCATTACATCTAAATTCAGAATGTAAGATGTAATTCCTAGTAGGAGTCTGATCAAGTATTTCCTTATTGAGTCCTATTGAAGTCCTATTCAAGTTCAAACTGAATCTTAGAGAGCGGCCGTTGGTGGAGATGTGAATTGAGTACGAAAAAATGCTACAAACAACTGTGTTTTACGGTGTTTTCTGACCATGGTAGTTCTGGGCTAGTAAGCACAAAAAGAAAAACACTTTTCACGAAAGCTAGCTTTAGCTAGCTGAAGTTTCTCCTTGCGTAAGCAAGGTAAGGGGCTCAAATGCCGAAAGATTGATTTTTTCAATTATTTGAGCCGAAAAGATTGAAAAACATCAATTATTTAGACCCCCCCCCCCCCTCCCCCCCCCCCCGGGTCTCAGGCTCGATTCCTCCCTGGTCCATCCCCCCCCCCGGGCAGTGGCTCAGTGTTCAGCAGTCTCGGTTTGCCCGTTTTGGACTTGGTGCTACGAACTTTTACATGTTCCACCGATTCAGCTTGTTCATTTGAGACCTCAGTCTTCTCAGTAAACCACCTCGCAAGAATCTTTGCACACGCAGCATGCAGAACCCAGAGGTGCTTTAAGTTAAGACAGCTTCTGACGCCTCTCGTTGGGTTCATTTTGCAAGGTTTGCCACGCCACCATGTGCGTTTGCGTGTCGCATCCTACGAATCTTGCCGGGCCTCTCGTTGTACACAAGCTACCCATGAATCCACTCTGTCACCGACCCATCTCATGCAACAACTGCTAGCTTTCGTTCACCCGCTCCTCAAGTAGGACCTCTGAATTATCTTTTTTCTGAAATCTACTTAATATCTTTAACAAGTTCTTCCCAATGTCTAACTGCAATTAACTAGAAGTTATTCAGGAAGACTTCAACTAAACTGTATAATTGAAATTATATTTTCAATTTTGAAAATTATGGTTCAACATAAATGTTACACGGGAATTCCTTTTCCAACAGAATTGTCCTTACAAATCAGTAAGCATCTAAACAACATGTATTAAACATGTTCGGAACCTCTAAGTTCTTTCCTTCCGAATTCCACTCAATATATTCATATCAAATGTTAGTTAATTCCTATCTCACATCAAATATAATTTAATAAATAAAGAAGCCAAACATAAGTTTTGGTTTAAAGTAGAACTTAAATGACGTGTTTTCTATTTCAAAATGTATGCTACACAGGATTTCCTGTCCAATCGAATTGTCTTTGCAGATCAGTAGGCATTTGAGCAGCTTAACAATTGTGGGATATCTAACTTCTTTCTTATGAGCTCTACTTGATATACTTATCAAGTTTTTGAAACAACTGTTGGCATCTGCGACATAATGAATCTTGATCTAGCTCGTATGTCCATCCAACGTGTTCCAAAGTACCAAAGTAGGCTTTGTTCAGGCCTTCACTGGGTTCTTTTCACTTGTCAATTTCAACATCACTTCCAGACAAATTATAGCGAGCTCACTGGCCTGAGGCGAGCCCCAAACTCCGAATTACGAGGAGGTTTCCGGAATAAGGATTTCTCAAATCTCTTGGGCGTTTTTTCGGCGCACCGGGGCTTCATCTTTGATGGCTACCACGCCAAGTCTGGCCAGGTGTGCGAGAATCCGACCCCCGTAAAAAAAATAAAAAGCTTGAAAACACACATGTTTGAGAAAATCCGAGCCCTGATTCATTAACTCGGGCATCAGGTTCTCAAAAACCAGCCGTTTCTGCTTATTTGGCCCTAACACGCTTGAAGCCGCACATGTTTGACAATATCCAGCCCTTCTCCGTCTCTCATTAAGACGGGCATCAGGTTCACAAAAACCAGCCGTTTCCGCTTGATTTGCCTTGAACAGCTTGCAACCACAAATGTTTGAGAAAATCCGGCCGTTCCCTGTGTCTCATTAAGACTGGCATTAAGTTGGCCTTGAAAAGCTTGAACATATACACACGTTTCAGAAAATCCGGCCGTTCTTTGTCTCTGATTAAGACTGGCATCAAGTTGTCAAAAACCAGCCGTTTCTGCTTCACAACAAGCTTGAAACAACACACGTTTGAAAAAAAAAAGAAACAGTTCCAACAACACACCTGGCTCGACCCCCCTCCAAATTTGCACTCTTTTTAAGAGGCAAGGAAGGGCCCGAAATATGAGGTGCGAGGTGGACCCTTAATTTTGCGAGGTAGTCCTTTATTATTATTGTTTTCAACAATTTGAGGTACGCGCTAGAAATTATGATAATTTGGCCAGATCACTTGGATTCGAGTGGATTGCCTTTTGGGTGATTTTTTTTTTTTTTTTTGTTTCCGGGAAATCTAGGCACCAGACCCAAGGCATCCCTTGTTCCTGCCAGGAGGTCCCGGACTCTCAGCAGGAGCAAGAGGCAAGAAACGATGATGTTGTCTTGGTGGCTTCCAACCATCCGGTTCATGAGAGCTTTTTGCCATTTAGGGTGTTGTGATTGAGTTTCCATTCAACCCATTCAAAGTTTTAGTGGGGATGGCCGGCCCTGCAAGGACACCAGAACTTGAATCTAGGGTCAATGTTCTGTATTTGTAGGGGGTACAAGCAGGGACATGTTTTTTCAAGACTAGAAGGCAAGGAGCACGGGAAGAACGATGGCCCATGCTTGCGTTTTGTTTAATCATGCTAGATCCTACCACGGTTGTTACGTTTTGGGCAACTGTGGTGTGCGCGTGTGCGCGTGCGTGTCTTGAAGCAGAACTGCAAGAACGATTTTCTCGATCCAGATCCATTTTTCGGACACCACTGTCCCTCACATTGAGTGAGGTGTTCCCCAAAAAGACTCACAAGCCTAGTTGCTCAGCGGTCCCGGTTTCCCTTTCCAACCCCCCAGCGAGCCAGCCCCATCCACCGCATTTTTACCAGGGGACAACCATACGACGAACCGAGACTTGGTTGCTACTGCGGGGGGACGAAATCCTGCACCACCTAAGAACTATGGAAATCCAATGGTTTGTTGGTATTTAATGGGAATCGTCCTTCCCATCCATCCACAGTATTCTAGGGATACCTTCCCCATTCATTCCAGGAATCCTTCTTTTCAGGAAATCATCAAACAAAAATCCCAGGGAAAAAGCTCCGGTTTTTGAAAAGAACGATGGTTGTTTAAGAATGGACAAGGAATCAACCCCTAGAACCATGGGCCTTTGCCTTGCGTCCGGACCGCGATGCCAGGCGATTCCCACACTCCGGGGGAGGAGCTCTTGGGGCGTTTCACGTGAGCTGTGGGTGAAGAGTGGGGTGAAGTGGAAAGAATGCGATCGTTGGGCCGGACGGGTGGTGGAAAGAGGCTTGAAGTTAGGTGAAGCATGGGCTCAAAGTGGGTGATGTCGATATTTCGAAGCTATGCTTTGAGATGTTTGCGCGGTCATCGAAGTGAATGCAATAACTCCACTGGGATGAACCTCCATGTATGCTTAATGCCCGATTGGCGCAGGTTCACTCACAGCAAAGTTCCTGTGGCGGTTCCGGGAAAGGAAAAGCACTGGGTAGGCTCCATGTGGGTGTTGATCAATATTCCCACTAAAAAGATGATACTTCCCACGTTAGAAGAGTTACCCATGGTCATTTGCGGGCCAGGCATATTGATCAACCCCCATGTGTTGTTGTAAACGCAAAAGTTCCAACCGCAACTGTCCAACCTTTAGCGTTCGGCCTAGCCTTCGGCCGGGCAGGATTGAGGAGCCCGACGCAATTGTTGATGTTCGCCTTAGACTTGAACGTGTCCGTTTTTTTTTTTGTCTGACGTGTGCTTTAACCGTCCCGTTGCAACATTAGTCTTCGCCCGGCAAGTAGCCAAATGTTTCACATTTTGGGGACCAGTGGTATGGATCCTTGGGCTACTTGAAGAGGGAGTCGAGAGCCAAAATCGAGCGACCCATTGACCTGCCATTCAGGCACAAACACACCCACATGCACACTGAGTCCTTGTCTCAGGAATTCCCCCCAAGGGAGGCATACAACCAGAGGACCAAGCAAACCGGGAGAGCCACATTTTGCCCTGTGCTGGCGACACGAGTTTTGACCTTTGCTATCCTATCATTGTGTTTGCCCGGGATACTTCGGGGTTCTGCGGGTTTTGGTTCCTCGACTCAAGCTTCCTTAATGTTCCACAAGGCCTTAGCGCGCGTTCCAGATCGAGTTGCAGCTGGCAATCTTGCATTATTTGGGGAAGCAACTGTACTTTGAGGTTTGGTCTATGTTTGGGCCCAAAAGAGGATGGCCTCAGAGGCACACAAGAGTTATCATCGTTCAACGGAGAGAACATTTCCAGATTACGGTTCAGACTCAGATTCTGAAAGATTCTGAAGTGCCCCCTTTGGAGTGTTTCCTTACAGCACGGCGGTGCTTGCAATTGCTGACATGTCCAAACTGCACGCGCCCAGCTTTGATACTGTCAAGCTTTTATAGAATCGTTGGGGCATTTGTTTTATCAGCTTGCGTGTGCTTTTTCCTTTTCAGCTGCGAACCAGGATGAACCAATCACTGAAACCAGCTCATTTCCCCGGCAGGAGTCAAGCTGCCAAGCAGATGAGGCATGGAGTTGCAAACGGCACCTACGCTTGTGGGATGGTCAGCCCGAATGAATACCCATGACAGGAAGCAGTACATATTTGTTGTCAAATGTAAAGCAACTTATCAAGGGTCGCGTCACGGTCGTATGCTTCGGGAATTTCTTAGAGGGTGTGGAATTGGACAGTCTGCAGGTCAACGATTGAAGTAGTCTCCTGCTAACCCTCACTTGCCCTCATTGATTTTGACTTGGGCTCCTTATACCTGACGGGATGGAACTTGTGTCCAGAGTCAAGTAGTTGGTGCGCGTTTGGCTTGCCATAGAAACCATATCATGCTAGAACCTTGTCAATTGAATTGCACGGTAGCCAAGTCAGGGACCCAAAAGCCAACGATTGGGGGCTGAGTAAGTTTAGCAAAGACGGCACCATGAGTAAATAAGGCCAAGCAAGCCCTCAACGGTTCAAGTAGGCTGTTGGAAGTGGGCGTGCCCTTCTGAAAAAGGTCCGCTGGAGAGACTTAGAAACAAGGAACCCTGCCTCAAGCCGAGGATCTGTTGCCCATGAGTGCCAGCATTGGGGCAGTGTTTGTAGCCTTTGGATTGACAAAGTCATCCTGGAAAGTAGTCCCCTTGGTGTTCAAAGGCCCCCGGCCTTTGCCCGTGAGGGAAAGCCCCAGTGGCAGATGCTGGAAGGTTTGCGCCTGAGGGCCGCAGAAAATCGAAGGTCTGGTGCCTGGGGATACCAAGGACGGGAAGCTCACAGGATCAGCTTAATGCGCCTTGAAGCAACTGGGCGTGTTCGAAAGCGTAGAGGTCAGGAGTCTGCAGGGCCGATGTGAATACCAGTCTACAACTAGGTCCCCCAGCTAGGTGCCCTGTCTCACCCCTTTTTTTGGGGGGAGGGTTCCCCCAAAATAGACTACAGGAAAAAGGGTACCCTTATTCTAACCTCTCCACTGGAGGACCTAGACAAGGGACCTGCACATTGCCGTTCACCATTTGCATGGTGGGATGGTGGGTACCTTTCCCTGAAGGCGGATGGGGTCCGTCGCGAACTTGTGGATCTCGGCTTTTCCATCTGCCCGTTGATGGTGATGGTGAAAATGCATGATTGTATGTCCCGAGGATTGTGACCCCTCATGCCCCATTCGACTGTCCCCCGCTTGTAGCACACTCAGTTCCTCAGTTGCTGGGCTTTACAGCTTTTTGGGAAGACCATTTTAGTGGAAGACGGAAAGCGTTTTTTGGACCATCAACTCAAGAAGTCAGCCTATGGCTGGCAACTCTACTTTCGCTCGGGCATGAGATCTCTGAGATGGTGAATAAATTTGGTCACCTCACCAGGAAGCGCGGCTAACGCTATGACTAGAACTTCTGTCACACATCCATACGGGAAGACTACTTTACAGGTGGCTCCGACAGAAACAAAAGCTTTCATCCCCCGGAGATTTGGCCATGGTTGCTGCAAACATGGGAATAGCTTGAGCGAGAAAGTTGGGGAAGGTCTACCCAATGACAAGTATTGAGAGCTGGCAACAGGATCTTGACCCATACCATGCTTTCCAACCAGGATAGTCACTGGCGGTCGCATGTTTCTCGGTTATTGAGCCCAAGGGGCGTGCTTAGCGACAACCCGCCCCAAGGCCAAACCCGGAAGTGCTGCAGGCGCGAGAGAGGGCTGTCATCCAAATGCGTTTGTGTGGGTGTGTTGTTTGCTTTGTTTTTGTTGCTGTTTGCTTGGTTGTTTCTTACTCATTGTTTATGTTGTATGCTTTCAGCGTTGACTGTTTTCGTTGTTTCTTGTTGCTTGTGTGCATCCTTTGTTTGGAGGGAATCCCTGCGAGTTGCTTTAAGGACCCTACAAATCAGGCCATCAAAGAGACTCCGAACCAAGCTTCCAAATAAAGCAACGACTCGGTCGGAAACCCATAGTGGTTGGGGGGATCTATGAGACCGCAGTTTGTTGGGTCACTGGTTATCACGTATCACCCCGCCACTTTTCATCCTGCACTTTCCTGTTGTTTGACCTGTGCCCCCAGTTCTACCTTTTGCTTAGCGTCGGGACTCGCGGCGCAAAAGATGATCACTGGCCTCTTTGGCGCCCGGAAGGTGGTTGAGGCATGTCCGAAACCGCTCCTGGCTACGGTAAACTAGTGGAGTGGAGTGGGTGCTGATCAGTGCTGAGATGTTCACTATTGGTGTTCGATGATTGCTTTTTTACCCTTTTTTGGGGGAGGGTTCCCCTACTAAAATAGACTGCAGAAGAAAGGGTACCCCAATTCTAACCTCTCTACTGGAGGACCCAGTTACTATTGGTGTTCGATGATTGCGCTTTTCCCCACCCGACAGGTTCAGAGTTGCCAGATTTGAAGCGCCACGCGATCCGCCGGCCCATCCGGCCCGCCGGCCGGGCCGGCCGTTCGGCCGTCAACTGTGTCAGACAGGAAGTGACGGCCGTGACAGTCCGAAGCCTGAGGCTTCCGCCAGCCGGAGGGCGTGCAACAACACATGCAACACACTCAGCACGCAACAGGGCCTTTGTGGGTCCAAGGGAAATGGAATGGGCAGGCCGCAGGTTGTAGTCCATGTGTCCATTTGCCAGGCTTCCGTTTTGGGTAAACAAACACTGGACCCACACCCACGCATTTCCTGTTTGATCTGGTGAAGCAAAGCGCATTCCCGAATTGCAGGCCAGCGCCGGCTGGCATCCTTAGCCTCCCAGGCTCCGGAGACCGGGGAGGAAGGGGATGGAGTTCCTACACTTGGGGGAGTTTCTTGCAGAACGGCATCTCTGTAGTGAAGTGTTTGTTTTGCGTGACTTGCCGCCCAAGTTGCTCATCGCAGCTGTTCATGTAAACCATGTTGCATTCGTAGAAGGGTTAGCGTCAAGCATTCCTTGTCGGGCTCCCGTTTCCTACTGGGGCTACAGGCTTTGGGCCATTCCAAAAGATTGGTTGCTCCCTTCGACTGGCTCTGAGGCAGAACTTAGACTCAACATGGGCAATGCGCAACAACAAAAGTGGATGTAATCAGGTCATGCTTGAACCTAGAGTAGCTTGCTCAGAGAGACCAAACAAGTTCCAATCATTTGTTTGCACATCACTGGGCCCATGTTTGGAAGACCAACTAAGGAAGGAAGGAAGAACCGACCTTCCTCACGTGAACCGACCTTCCTCACGTTCCCCCTTGTGTTGCTCAGCCCTCCCGTGCGCAAAAAAAGGAAGCAAAACAAACTGCATCATGTTGAGGGCACCCTTCTTGTGCGTGTGGTTGAAATGGGGCCCAAAGAGAAACCACTTCCTCTGGTCCGGACACACATCGCGGTGGCTTCTGGCTGAAGAGCCTTGCAGGCCTAGAGGACATGCCTTCAGCAAAGGCCGGGTGGGCACGATTTGAGCGCCTCTAGGGGACCTCCAAAACGGTTGATTTCCTTTGGGTTTTCCTTTTCAAGCCACAACCAATAAGGGAATTCGGGGGGGAAAAAAGCAACGATGGCCACCGTGATGTCTTGACGAGTTCTCTTTCTAGGCGCTGCTTTAGGTGAGCAAGCATGCTTTGCGTTCTGGATTCACCACGTTCAGGCCTCTTCCTGTGAGTGTCAATGCTCAGAACTTGCCACAAGACTGCGTGGCTCCACTTTCAACCTTTTTGTTGGCTGCTATTGGGTGGACCTTTAAGCTTCAACCTTTTTTGGAAAGTCGAGTAAGTGAGATGACCTTAAACGGGGAGGCTATGTTTGCCTCAAAAATTGGCGCTGGCAACATATGCGATCCCATTCATGAGTCCCCGCACCGCTAGGCCCGGACTTCGGGCTCCTTGTCCACGAAGAGCTGAGGCGCCTGGCCGCCTGAAGTGGTGGCCATTTGCAGAGTTTTCCAACTTAAACACCTGGCCGCCACCTGGCCTACAGTTTAACGCTTCTATCTAACATGTCTTGTCGGGTGTTCAGTCCATTGTCTCATGTCTTTCGGGACCAATCCTATCAAGTCAAGCTTTCCGATAAATAAAGCACTGGCCTACAGTTTGATTGCGTGGGTTCCCGCTCGGGCCATGTTCTTTGACTGAGTGGGAACCCACCGGCCTACAGAACCTTCGCTTTTTGCATTGCCATGTTCTTTGCTATCAGGCCCTTGCGGCGTTTCTTTGTTCTGGATACAAACTCAAATTGACAACACACACACACAAACGAAGTGTAGGCCGGGGGCCGTAGCATTGCTTGAAAGCCTTGCTGATTTTGCGTTTCATGGAAGGGGCAATGGTGCAATGTTTGAGTGGGGAAATATACTGGCCCCTGTCAGCCTTTGCAACCTGACCCTGTGGGTGAGCCTCAAAACCACAGTGCTGGCAAACGCAGGCAACCAGCTTGGGGTAAGGGAGTCCAGTCCCAAAACCAGGTTCTTCATTGGTCAGGTTCCCAGCCATCCGGAGCGTTTTAGTTTTTCAGTGTTCAGTGGTAGTTTCCATTTAACCCATCAAGACATTTTAGCTCTTAGCGGGTGATCTGAAAACGGACTGCCCGGGTTCAAGGGCCGTTTGAGGGCAGGAAGCAGCTTCATTTCTGGTCGAACGGCAACAGTCGCATCGTTTTGAGCACCACATTTCGGGCCTCTTGCAAGTGGGCCCGAGCCCGTGTCGGTGTCGACTTGACCTGGGATTTGCACGGCTGAATGTGAATTGCACCCAGAATTAATGTTGACACCCCTTCCAATACTTAGCAAATCATAACTCATAACTCATAAATTCCCCCCTGCCCCTCATTAAGAGAAGCAGCAAAAATACTCCCCCTCCCGTATTAAACCGGTCCACTTCCAGTGGCTGTTGCCAACGCAGTCTTGTCATCACTGGATGGGTTGGACAGCTTGTTCAACGTAAACGGTTTTTTTACTGCTTACTAGCTGATGCTGCTTTGGCTCAAATGGCCTCATGCTTTCTTCTGATGCCTTTCTCTTCATGCTGCTGCTTTGCTTGTGTCTCTCATTTGCAACTCCTCCTCTTATCTTACAGCTTGGTGGATGCTTTTGTGCCAGCCCAAGCCACACCAAAAAAGGGTTCTGAAATGTTTGATTTCTTGCTAACTCCTTTACTAAAAATACCCCGATTGGTATGGTCCATCAGCCCCGCCCCAAAATTTTCACAAAGAGATGATCCAGCAATACTAAAATGGAAAGTGAAATCCCACAATACTAAATCAATTGGACAGTCAAATCAAATTCAAAAGGAAGTTCCATCAACAGTAAGTCAATTGGAAAGTGAAATCCTACAATACTAAATCAACTGGACACTCAAATCGGATTCAAAAGGAAGCTCGAGCAATACTAAATCAAATGGAAACAAGGACCGAAGCTCCTTTTGGAGTTTATCTGCAGTTCTGGGATCCTCATTCCCAATTTAACAGCAGTATTGCCCAATTCAAAGTAGTAATGCCCAATCCGATGTCAACATTATTCAAGGGGGCAAGGCAAGAAGCCTTCCAACATCTGGCCCCCCCCCCCAAAAAAAGAACCTTCCGACCTTGCGCGGGGGGGGGGGGAGGGAGGGGGTGGGGTTCAGACTAGTACGACTAGTGCGGTGTCAACATGAAACAGGAGAGGGTTCTCTGTTGACTGCTATTGGGTTGGATCTTTAGACTTTAACTTTTTGGGAAATAAAGGTGTTTTCCACTAAACCCGCAAAAAGTTAAACTTTTTGCAGGGGGGTCAACAGCA